CCCCCCCGTCTGCTCTCCTGTTCACCCATGCCCCACTGTGTCATTAATTGTCATTAATTGTCCTCACATCAAAGTTGAATACATAGGATTCATGCTTCTCCATTCCTGTGATGCTTCACTAAGAATAATGTGTTCCACCTCCATCCAGGTTAATACAAAAGCTGCAGAGTCTCCATTTTTTTTAATGGCTGAATAGTATTCCATGGTGTACATATACTACAGCTTGCTGATCCATTCCTAGATTGAAGGGCATTTAGGCTGTTATCACATTTTAACAATTGTAAATTGAGCTGCAATAAACAATCTAGTACAAGTGTCTTTATAATAAATGGTTTCTTTCCTTCTGGATAGATATGGGATTGCAGGATCAAACAGGAAATATAGGTTGAGTTCTTTGAGGTTTCGCCATACTTCCTTCCAAAAGTTTATATGAGATAGTCTTTAAAATTTTTACACCTTTTAATAAGTTGGTGTGTCTTCTCTGATAAAATGTCCTTTCATCTTCTGCTTTTAAAAAAATGAATTTTATCTCTTTTCCCTTTGGTTAAGAAAAAGAAAATAGTGAAACAACAAAGACTTATGTTGAACCTCATTCATTCTTAGTGATGTCACTTCTTCTTTTTTTTTTTTTTTTTGTAGCGACAGAGTCTCACTCTGTCACCCTTGGTAGAGTGCTGTGGCGTCACACAGCTCACAGCAACCATCCAACTCCTGAGCTTAGGCGATTCTCTTGCCTCAGCCTCCCAAGTAGCTGGGACCACAGGTACCCACCACCACGCCAGGCTATTTTTTTGTTGCAGTTCGTTCAGGGCTGGGTTTGAATCCACCACCCTTGGTATATGGGGCTGGCGCCCTACTCACTGAGCCATAGGCGCCGCCCAGTGATGTCACTTCTTTATTGTAAGGAGTACTTGTTTTTAATACCACAGGAGTTTTTGAGCATTTTGTTAGGAATCAGTGTCCCAAAGTGACCATATGAATAGATCCCAGGGCAATGAAACAATATGATGCTCTGATATTATGAGATAGATGTTTTTGTCCACAATTATGGCTCATAACTCCTATGGCCCTTGATATAATGTTGGGGCCCTGCAGGCCTCAGAAAACAGTATCACTCTCTCTCTCTCTGACCTTCTCCTATTCTCTTTTCACCTCATTTTTCTCCTCAAGCCAGGAACTTTTTCTCACTTTCTGTCTTAGAGCTGGCCATAAAGAATTTCTCTGACCTTTCTTGTCTAATTTTAGGTCTTAAGGCCCTCATTTCAGAATTGCTCCTGGGCCTTGTGTGGGAGAAAGGAATGCTACACAGAGGCCAAGAAGAATCTGATCAGACAGGCCTTGCTGGGTTTTCCTACTCAACTTTTTTTTTTGTTTGTTTTTGAGATATAGTCTCATGCTGTGCCCCTGGGTAGAGTGCTGTGGTGTCACAGCTCACAGCAACCTCCAACTCCTGGGCTTAGGTGATTTTCTTGCCTCAGCTTCCCAAGTAGCTGGGACTACAGGTGCCTGCCACAACAGCCGGCTATTTTTTGGTTATAGTTGTCATTGTTTGGCACACCCTGGCTGGATTTGAATCTGCGAGCTCTGGTGTATGTGGCTGGCACCTCAGCTGCTTGAGCTACAAGTGCCAAGCCTACTCAAGTCTGATTTTATTAGGTCATGCCCTTTTTGTCCAATCACATTTCTACACAGTTATCCATGCTTCTGTTATGCTTCCCCAGTGAAGCCTCCATAAGAGACCCAAGAGGAAAGGGTATAGAGAACTTACACACAGCTGAATATATCAAGGTTCCTAGAGTGGTACAACTGGAGAGAGCATAGAAGCTCTGATTAACACATAAATGTGTTCCCTGAGTTCTGTGAACCACTCTGCCAAATTAATCAAACCCAAGGAGAATGTTGGGATTCCCTATCTATAACTGGTGATTCAAAAGCACAGGTTCTGGGACTTCTGATAGCAATAACTCCAACATACAGTCAAAATTCCATTTCCCTACTTCTATGTATTTATTTATTTACTTATTTGAGGCAGAGTTTCACTATGTCAACTTCAGTAGAGTGCTATGGTGTCACAACTCACAGAAACCTCAAACTCTTGGGCTTAAGGGATTCTTTTGCCTCAGCCTTCCAAGTAGCTGGGACTACAGTTACCTGCCACAACGCCTGGCTATTCTTTTGTTATAGTTGTCGTCGTTTAGTAGGCCAGGCTGTGTTGGAACCTGCCAGCCCTGGTGTATGTAGCCAGAGCCCTAACCACTGAGCATCAGGTGCTGAGTCCATTTTCCTACTTTTAAAAAAGCATTTTTTATAGCAGCAACTGTGGCTCAAAGGAGTGGGGCACCGGCCCCAT